CAGCATTTGCTGTGCAGACACTCTGTACATCATCCAGAGATGTTGGACAGGACTGGACCCAGCACTGACCCCTGGGGGACTCCACTGGTGCCAGGTCTCCAGCTGGACTTGGCACCATTGATCCCCACCCCCTGGGCTCTGTTGTGCTGCCAGTTCTCCACCACCTCACTGCCTGTTCCTCCAGCTCCTCTGTTCTGAGGTTGCTCAGGAGGATGTTATGGGAACTGTGCCAAATGCCTTGCTAAGGTCAATGATAAAATGAGCCATTATAAATGAAGATGCTCATTTGTGGCAGCATCCATGCATTCTGAGCTTGGACACAACACACCACACCGAGCTCCAATAAATGAAGTCAAACTACGACATTATGTGAGGTGAGTGCTTGCCTCAACAGCTCAGATGGAAGCCAAAGACAGGGACTGTGGGGTCCACAGCAGTTTCTGCCTGCACATTTTGTGTTGCTTTCTCTCCTTCCCTTGGTTTGTCTCAATTTTTCAGATGACTCATGAACCTCCTGTGCTCTTTTCTCCTCAAAGCGTCATAACTGCAGAAAACCTGTGCCTCATGTGCACATGGGAGTGGGTGAGAACTGGAATATGTGGACCCTTGAAAGTAGTCTCCATCAAGCCAATTTGCACCATCTGATTTTATGGCTCTTCAGGGTTGCTGTAGAGCCTATGCATTTCCTCCCCTCCTCTTCCTCCAGTTTAGCCATGATATTCATGTGGTTTTAATATATATTTTCTGTATTTTCTCCATCCAGCTTTTTGTTTCCAAAACTTCTGGTCAGCTGCAGTAGAGACTGAGAGCCAAACAAATTGCTGGGTTCTTCCATGCTTCCTTCCAGAAAACAGCTTTAAAGTTAAAACTGGTATTAGACTCTTAAATAGCAACACCTCATCTATATGCTGGCCACACCCTGTGTTTAACAAAGCTGCAGCATGACAATGAGTCCGAGGGGTATGTTCTAAGGGGGCAGTTAGCACAAGGAGCTTCTCGTGCCCTCCCTCTCAGGCTGCACTCTGTGGGTGCAGAAGGGAGGCAGACTCATGTTTACCCCATAAAGCTGTTGGGAGATGTGATGCATGAGCACGTGGGGAAATGCTCTGAGCCTCAGCTGCACCAGGGAGATCTTTCCACTCACCCTCTGCCTTTTATCCCTTGGGCTGCCCTGGCTCAGGTTCAGCCAAGGCTCGGGGCAGGCTGGTGGCAGCCCTCACTCCAGCCAGGCCTGGACTAACCCTGCAGGGGGACCCTGCTCGTGTGCACAGCACAGCCCAGACCCCTCTGGCTCCTCTGGCCACTCTGCACTGTCCACGTGAGACCCTTGCTCAGCGTGGCACAGGGAAACTGGCCCAGCACAGACGAGCTTTCCAACTGCTTTATTAATTGTGCCTTCACAACACATCCAGAACATTTTAAAGCAGCTCCATTTCCAAGCCAGTCTAACAATGTGCCTGCAAAATCCTCCTTAGGACTATTTTGGAGGCTTTTTATCTGTTTGGCCTACATCTGTATTAAAAGCTGTTTGGTTTACAGCAGTGTTAAACCTAAGCCTTATGTTGGCCTCCTACCCAGACCAATTTCACCCTCAAGCAGCTAGATAGCCTATTGCACACACGGTTACTCCTATAACCACCCAGATTCCTCCAGGTTATGGTGTGCTCAGGGACAAAGAGGAATGGAAAGACAACAGCCAAGTGCCCACTAACACCGACGAGCCCAGGATCTGGCATCTGCTGTTCTGTAGATATGCTCTGCTCAGCACAAGTGGGGGCATCTTGTTACAGATATCTTTGTAGTTGACATCATTCTTGCAATGCAGACACTGTTGGGGGTTGTCAGCTTAGCAGAATCATCTTCCTTTGTTTTTTGTTGTTGAATCAACATCCTTGAAACCTTTTTAAAGTTTAGCACCTGGCTGTCAGGCATTTGTAATATTCCCCTACAGACATCAAGGGAAATTTCGCCTGTGTTGTATCAGGCTCAGCAAAGATCTAATTATTGTTCTGATGCACTAAGCAACAATTGCATCTACTGTAAACTGAGTGGTAAATTCCAGACTTCATCCCAGGATACTTCTGAGACCAATAAACTTGGATATACTTGGAAACAGCCTTTCTGTATGGGTGCCTGCCAAGGAGATACTGGGTTCCAGATAAACCTCCAGAGTAAGTCTATTGACTTCAGTCCATTCACTCCAGGGACAAAGCTGGCTCGGTGTCTTTCCTGAAGAATTGCTGGATAATAATGATTCCTATTTAATTAAAAAGCATGCCAAGAGGAATTTCAGGGTTTAGAAATGTGCTTGTCACTCAAATTTATACTTGGTAAAGAAAAAAGGTTGGTTGGTTTGGGTTTTTTTTCCTTTTTTTCCCCAGACACATACGCAATTATCTCTGAAAGGTCCCTGGGCCTGAAGCCACAGCAGTGTCTCTGGGTCTGCGGTTTGATTATTCGAGGTTCCTGCCTGCCTGCCTCTCTTGTGTGTTGTGCAAGCCAGTTCCTCTGCCCTTAATTCACTCCGTGCCTCTGACAGCACTGCAGCATTCCTTGATGTGCCACTACGAAACCAAACAATAAGCACTGCTCAGCTGTCTTGCTCCCTGCCATGAACCAAACGGGCTGGGTACTTCTCTGGGGAGTTATATTCCATTCTACAGAACCTTTTGGTAAGCAACAGACTATCTTAGCAATAGGTGTCTTAGCTGCTATTGACTGCCAAACTTACCAGACTGCCATCCTGGAGAGATTTCATACAGGCTCTTGAACTAAAATCTCTCCAGCAAGTAGAAGGGTGTGTTTGACTTACATTTGGAAAATATCAGTCAGATAGTCCCCACTTGGAGACCTTGCCAGGAGAGAACGTGGGAGGTAAAGGAGGAGAAAGGGTGAGGAAAAGCTTTTATCTACAACATACTTTTTAAGCACAGAACTTAAATCTGGAAAATATTAAGCTTATAAAGTTTTGTGTGGACAAGAGACTCCCTGTGTCAGCTGCACCCACCTTGCTTATCTGAGCTTTATTTCTCACATTTCAAGAATGCTGTTGTATGACCATTATCCTCATACCACTCCACTGGACCAGTCCTGTACTACCCTCTCAATGCATAGCCCTGTATTTTCCTTTACTCCATGCCCTGCTGCTTCTATTTATGCCTTTTTCCTATCAGCTTAATCTTTCTCCTGTTACAGAACCTTAAAATAGCAGCATCACTTAGAGCTTTTCCTTTCTACCACCTCAGTTCTCCACCAAATCCCAGTGTAAACATCTGTACAGGGCATGTCTCCATTGACTTGATGCTTCTGTTATTCTCAAATATTTCTGAGCAACCCACCACATTGCTAATCCTCTGTCCATTTTTAGAACTGATTTTTTTTATTATTCTGAAAAGTCCAAATAAGTATTTTTTTCCCTTATGGTCTTCATGTCAGGACAGAGGTGCCAAGCTACTGTAAAAAGAAGCATTTTACCCCCTAGCATTTCCAGCCAGAAGCAGACAGCTGAGATTTTTCTTATGAGATTTCCTTCCTTGTCCTGGATAGAGAAACACATCTCACCACAAAGACTCATCCTCAAATGTGACTGCTCCTGCAGTTTGTGGCTCCAAAGCTCTCAGCACTGGATTGTAGGTTTGTTACAACACGGTGCAAATTTGCAACATCGGGTAAGTGATTTAAAATCAGGAATAATGATAATGACTCAGACTGGAGCCAGTTTGGGCAGTATTAAAAGAAGCATCTGAAACATTACACGCAGCCAGTCACCAAAACCAGACTCCAATTCTGCTGACTTTCGTACATCCCTAATTCTTGTTCTATATTTGCAGCACAAACAAGATCCAAAGCAAGAGCAGGAGCTTCACTAGTTTATGTCTCACAATAACCAGCTGTTGCCCTGGTCTTCGTAGGAGAAGGTAGGGGATGGTCAGCAGAGATGTACAGGGGGATGAGTCCTTGCAGACAAAGAGCAGGGTCCTGTGTGAGAGAAAATGTTGGTCTCAAGTCCTTGACTTCCTTCTTGCCTCCCTTGACTTCTTCCTTCTCTCCTGCTTTCTTCTGATTCCTGTCTGTCTTTTTAAATTATTAACTCTGAGGCTTGTGCTTTTTAACTCTGCAGAACATGTTGTGGAAAAGCTTGGAGGAAAAATATTGCTCAGAGAAGCACAGTCATACTGCTACTGAAACTGTCATTTGAGTATTTCAAAGTGCTTTTCAGACATGGTGAGACAGGGAAAAAAAGTTAATCTTGCAAAAATTTGCACACTTACAAATGTCTTTTCCTTGTACCTGAGGCAGAACAAGGACTCTAGGCTCGGTTCAGCACATCTGCCCTTCTGCAGGAGCCCTCCAGCACAGGAGATGGAAAATCCAGAAAATCCATTCCTTCTTAAAAAGCCATGGCAGCTAAAGCATTTCTGCAAACCATTTCCATTTTGTGACCAATGAATAAGACTAACAGGCCCCTAACAAGGTCTGTGTGTTAGCAACAGCACTATTTCATGGCTGTAATCCACAGGTCAGGTGGATGAAAGAGAGGCACAAAGCAGTGCCAGCAATGGAAGAAACACCATCTTGTTCAATGACCAGTCCTGTGCTCATTCTTACTGCAGAACTTTGCCTCCCTCCCACTCATTTTTTATGTTCAGGCAACACTGACTTACTGTTGATTGCTAATGATTTCTGTCACTTACCACTGTGCAGCAGAGAGGCCAGAACCACCAGAGGAGAGCCAAGGCCAGCAGGAGGAAGAGGATCAACAAAGCGATGGCCAGGATGGTCCCATCTGACTAGAAGAGAAACAGAGAGCGTGTGAGCACCACGGACACAGAACTCCCTCTCCATGGTACCTTGCCCGTGCTTCCAAGGCAAGTACATGTCCCAGAGGCCATTGCCACACTCCATGTATTTTTCAGAAAAAAGGAAGTTTTCCTCCCTCCTCATATATCCAAATGTTGCACCTCCCCACCCCACCCCCCACGGCAAAGAGGCTGAGACCTCCTGTTCCCTTCTCAGAGAGCTCTGGGGTTTGTCTCAGCCTTCTGAACCTCACTATCATGTAAAACACCTCTTCCACTTCAGGTCAAAATGAATGCAATAGTCTTCAGAGTACTGTGAATACTGAAAAAAATATTTAAAAGAGATCTCACAATACAATGTTTCACTGCTGTTTAAGCATTCTCCTTTCTTTGCAACTTTTTACCCCTCTTGCAGTATAAACTTGAAAGCAATGTTATAATAAAAACTTACTCCAAACAGAAAACTTGAAGCAAGATCTCCATAGGCCCAGGCTCAGGTCGTCCTGCTCCTCTCAGCAGGGCTGAGTCAGGGCAGTTCTGCCATCAGCTTTTCAAGGACATTTGAGCATATGCACCATTGCAACAATACAGAGGGATTTTCCACTTCAGAAGCCATTAACTCCAGAAGACCCTTTCCTCCCTAGCTGGGAGGAAAAAGGCATTTGCAATTCTCTATCGATTAACAGTGCTGCTGCACAAGCAATCAAAGCCCAATGTGTGTTATTTCTTGTTGCTTAGATTTAAACCAAACCAGATGTTCTTGGCTTCCTGATGCCAACTTCCCTGTGCCATTCCTCTCAATATCATCCTGTTCTGAGGTAGGCAAGCAGGCAGTCCTGACTTCAGCCTGTTTCAGATGTTCTTTGTGTAAGAGCCAGACATTTAAAAATCCCCACCCAAGTGTCAAGATCACAATGACAGATTATGGACATGTTCAAGAGCAGACTGACCTGTAGGATGGGAAAACTGGGTGTCTGCTTAAGTCACTATAATTCAAAGGCCAGATGATCTCCCACCATACCATAATGGGAAGAGTAATGGAAAAAAAAACAATCAAGCTGAGAGCATTTTCCAAACTCTCTTCTGGTGTAAAAGGAATTTCTGGAGAACTTGGATGAAGACAACTTGATCTTTGACACTTGGAAACAAAAGAGATAGTCCACACAGGAGAAGAATTCACCCAAGACATCTCTGGAAATGGAACTTGGACTCTGATACAAAATAAAAGCTCATTTGAGAAGACAGAGCTGTATGTTTGGTGCTGTTCCTGAAGATATACAGCACAGAGTCACATCCATTATCTGCAAAATGGAACCTGATGATATTCTGTGCTTTAGAAAACATGATCCTGACTCTTTGCTGCCAGGAAATTGTAGAATACATAAAGCTTTTTATGTCCAATTGTTGTCTGCTTCTTGTTTCCCTATATTGAAACAAGTAATGACAAATGTCATTAAGAATATTTTAAACCAAACTTGCAAAACTACAAAACAAATTGAAGTGGCCTTTTAATTGTTTTGTTCTGGGCATTTTTTTGTTGTTGTTTTTAAAAACAGAATTATTTTTTTCCCCCAAAGACCAGCTCACACTCCCCTCACACCTCCGTTTCTCCGAGGCAGCTGATGTGGCCAGCTGGTGTTCTGTGTATCACAGCAGCAGAAGTCCAGAGGACACAGAATATTCCAGACAAACAGAACTGAATTTTCTGTGCTCAGCCATATGTATAAAGTGTGGAGCTAAGACCCATAATCAGGAACTGCAGATCCTAACTCCCATCCACTCTGACTGTACTGTTGCTGCTGTGGGCAAGGCAATGAGGACAGCCTCACAAGTCAGACCAGGACAAAGCATCTGTACACACTAAATCCTACTATAATAATCCAAAGTGCCCTGAACTCTGCTTTTGGTTTGTTTTATCTTTGTTTTGTCAGCTTCTGCTAGAATTTAGCTATCATGCTAGTAATTATTTATCATTCTGTATATCTGTGGCTTTATACAGCTAGAACTATGCTTAGACAGAAACTGCCACTTATCCAAGCTGAATAATAAATAAGAAGGTAAATATACCTGCTAAAATAGTTTGCAAGAGTTCCACTGGTGTTTTGAAATCTTTCTCTCAGTCTCAGAGCTGGTTAAAAATGGCTGAAGCATTTGAAATGTCTGCTTTCATTCCATTATTTTTTTAAATCAAAATTTGGAGGAACAATACAAATCATCATGGAAACACTGAACCATGGAATAATTCAATGAACTGCATCGAACACTGAATAAAGGCTGTCAATCCAGACCAAGAAAACAACTTTTCATTTTAAAGACAAAAAGGAGAATATTAACACTAAACTAGTAGATTTTCCTCAAAAAAAGTATCTTCAAAGAGTGGCTAGTCCCTACATCCACAAGGTTATCTGAGATGAGTAGTGCTGTCCCATAGGGATTCACACTGAGCAAAAACTCTGGTGCTTGTACCCCCAGGGAGATCAACAGCCTCAAGCTCCACTACACCTGAGTGGCTGAGGAAAGCCAGAGGACCAGGGTACTGTCAGAGCTTCTGCCAGTCACCAAGTGCCAAACATTGGCAACTTGCTTCTTGACAGCTGCTGAAGACCTAGACGATGCCTGGAGTTGTTGTTCTGAAATGTTCTGATGTGTTAAAACTTTACTGTGCGGATTTTGAAGCATATAAGCAGATAGATAGACAAAGCAAGGCAGCCGTGCCTTGATGCCTGGAGTCGTTGTTCTGAAATGTTCTGACGTGTTAAAACTTTACTGTGTGGATTTTGAAGCAAATAAGCAGATAGACAAAGCAAGGCAGCCGTGCCTCGAAGTCTCCTTTTCCCTGTGAGAGTCCAACAAGGCCAAGAAAGTGCTACAGGTATTGCTGGCAGTTGAAGTACAATGGAAAATAACCTCTGGAAGATACTGTAAAATATAAAGATATCAAGAAATATGAGATGGGACACATTGAAGGCATTTCCTCGTACATGAGGGGTGTACCTGCTTTCACTCAGAAGTTATTGTGGAACCATTGTGGAGAAGCCAGACTGTGACTGGGAGGATCCTTCTGTCACAGGAATGGTGATGGGCTGTGCAGACTGTGTTGTGCAGAAGAGCCTGTGGGAGCCCTTCCAGCTGTGCACTGCAGGAGAGGACCTCAGGCAGGTCCCTCCTCCAGGGCAGGCTGGGAATCTACCACCCTTAGAGCTTCAGGGCTGGGAGCCAGAACCGCCTGCACTGCTACCAAGCACTGGGAGCAGGAGCTCCAAGACAGACTTGTACCCACGTCTCACTTCAGAGGGACTCCACAGTAATAACAACTTAAGCAGTGCTTCTCTCTGCCAAACCTCAGGTTCTTTACAACAAGGGGGAATGTGGTTAATGTCATTCCAGAGACAGGGAAGATGTGAATGGTTCCTGTATCCCAGCCCATCTAAAATTTACATTTTCCAGGCAAGAAGAGTAATAACATGCTGAAATTCTTCAGAGGTGTTAGTAGAAAAACAATGAAGTGCTTTCAAAAAGCTTTATGAAAATCTTGAGTGCAGTTTTGAATGAGCATCCAAAATCAGACAGAGGCTTTCTTCCTGGAGAGGAAGGAGAAAGAGTCTCAATGTCCTTCAGCCAGCAGGGGAGGAGAAGGCAAACGATGACCCTACTCTGCCTTTTCACACCAGAGACTCAGGCAGCCTTTGTTGTGAAGGAAACACTCTCTATTTCTGCCCAACACTCCTGGGGACTCTCCCACCACAGCAACAGAAACTGATGTCTGTCATTTATTTCATCACACACAGATTTTTTTTTTTTTTTTTAATATAACAGAAACAATCTGGGCTAATTTCTAAAAGGAAATGAAAGCTCACTGAGTGCCCAGCTCTGCAACACTGGCCCCCGATCGATGCCTGTGTGAAGCTGCTTGAGTGGGGGCCAAGCTCTGCAGGGAATGCAAGCAAGAGCTCCTCTTCCAGGACACTCAGTATAGGTGTTCTCAGCTGCTTTCTTCCACGTTTACTGCACTGGGAAATGAGATGCCTCTCTGGCAATGACTTGTTTCCCTCCTCTCCTTCCAGAGCTGAAAGGAAATGGGAGCCCACTTACAAAGGACTTTTCCAGCATCCTACATTATTTGCCTTACAGCCCAGTATAAACCCCAGTGAAGCCTCTCTTCACCACATGCTGTGTAAACCCAGAGCAAGAGACGAGCCGTGTCCTGAGGAGTTCACACTCCAAACAGAGCAGGCAAACACATGGTGGGAAGGAGAAGTAATCATTACTCCTCTGTTACAAGGAAAAATCTTTGGTCAGGGAAAACAGTTCTCTAATCCTTGATTGTTCTGTTTATGCTTATGAAAACAAGCTGAACTTTTCCTGCAGAAGAAATGCTTAAAAGTTTCCAGCAAAACAGAAGTGTTGGAACTGTGTTTCTGAAAGGCAGATATGGTAGAACTGGCAGAAACTGGGCAGAGTTCCAGGCAGTGCCACCCCATGAGGCACAGCATTCGAGATGCTGCTCTAAACACACCAGGGGCTGGTGGGACAGTCTGAAAAAAACACACCACAGCAAAGCCCTGCAGGCTGATGAGCTTTCCTCTTCAGCTCTGTACTCTCCATCAGTACTGGGCTGCAGCAGTCTCCACATGACAGGTACCTCCCCACTCAGAGGTGTTGAGGTCCAAAGGACTTTGTCCTCCTCTTTGGTTTCCTTGCTCCCTCAAACATCCCATTTGGTTTGCTAAAACATTCCAAATCCTGTTATGGTTTCTGATACAAAGATCCTGCCCCCTAAAATTCGCCTCCAAGAGACCTATTCTGAACCAAAGGCTAAAAATAGTCGTAGGACTCCATGCCCCTGAACACCTGCTCTGGTCTCTACTGGTCATGCCATTCCCAGTTAATCACCACATTTCAGGTGGCAGAATTTGAACAGCTTCATTGCAGGAAGCAGCAGAGATCAAAGGGAGCTGCTCCTCTTAGCTGCAAACCTTCAGTGCTCCAAC